CCCCCCCCCCCCCCCCCCCCCTCTCTCTCTTTTAAATGTTTGATTTATCATATATTAAAATCTGCTTGCACAAATCTTTCTGATATTTACTTTTAATTTTGTAGAATTCTGGTCAAATTGCACCTTTGGACGAAATTATCAAATTGAAGGAGCAGTATCGATTTCGTGTTTTATTGGATGAAAGCAACTCCTTTGGTGTACTTGGCTGTACCGGAAGAGGTCTCACAGAACACTGTGGGGTTTCTGTATGTTTATAAACAAAAAAAAATTTAGGTTTGCCTGCCATTAGATTTAGATTCTTGATGATGATTTCATATTGCAGGTGGATAAGATAGATATAGTAACTGCTGCCATGGGGCATGCATTGGCTACAGAAGGAGGTTTCTGCACAGGAAGTGCTAGAGTCATTGATCACCAGGTACGATCAATTTATTGTATAAAAAAATAAATTCATTTGCCTACCGTCCTGTTTCCTTTTGTTTATCTTATTATGTAAATGGGTCAATAATGTTTAATGCTTGCTCAAATTCTTTTAACTAACTTAGTTTGTTGTAGCTATTATTCTTACAAAGTGCTAAGTTTTTCTTATTTAATTTTTCAGCGTCTGAGCAGTTCGGGCTATGTTTTTTCTGCTTCATTGCCCCCATATCTAGCTAGTGCTGCCATTACTGCCATAGATCTTATAGAGGAAAATCCCATTCTATTAACAAAGCTGAAAACGAACATAGCTATTTTATGGCAAGGTTTGTTCTGATTTCAATTCTAATCGTGTGTTTGAGCTTACTTTAACTATATTTAATATAGGATTTCTAAGTTATTATTGTAGGCTTTCCTTTGACTTTTAAGATAGAATTATCGATTCAAAAGCATCAAATGTTAAGATGTTATGTTCTGACTTTATTATTCTGAATATTTTAATTGCTTAAGATTGAATATTGGTCTAGCTGCTACTGTGATCAGAATAAGCTTATGCCTATGCGCAGAATGCTACCTAAATTGCAAACTTTCCTTACTTTTCAAAATTTGGATGGCATTACGCATATTCATTTCATAAGTCATGGGAGAATGCAGGATTGTCAGATACACCGGGACTTAAACTAGCAAGCGATCAAGAATCACCCATTGTCTTTCTCACATTAGAGAAATCTACGGGTTCAATACAAAATGATCTACAACTCCTTGAAAGCATTGCTGAACGCGTAAGTAATTTTCTCTCTAATGCAACCGAACATAGTTTTCACCACATATTCTGAACATACGTGTGTTTCCAGGCCCTCGAGGAATACTCTGTATTAGTTGTGACTTCTAAAAGATCGACAGTCGACAAATGCAGATTGCCAGTAGGAATCAGGTTGATGGTGTCTGCTGGCCATTCTGAATCTGATTTACTGAAGGCTACAGAATCATTGAAAAGCGTTGCAGCTGTGGTGCTCAAGGATAACAAATAGGTGTGCATGCTCACAATGGCTAGCGACGTTGAATAGTTTGACACAGGGCTGACAAAGATATTGCTGTTGTTATTTAATAGTCGTTTCAAGGTTAGAATTGTGATTTCCTTGTATCCTTCTATTTTATTCTGCCATTTTCGGGTTTAGCAGGATCAATAATCTTCTTGTTGCATCCAGTTTTAACTGTTTTTGTTGTTTGGGGAGGAGGGAGAATAATTTATCATCTACACTCGAGAATGTTTGCTTGTTAGGATTTTTGCTTCAATTGTTTTGGTAGTTTTACGGAACCTTGTAGATTTTCTGACTGTTTCATAATTCATTTTGAAGTCTAGATATTCTAGTTTCTGTGTAGCTGGTTGGCTCATGCTGATATTGTAATTGCAAGTTCCTGGCAAAAGAGGAAAAATGAAAGGTGAATATACATACATATGTATGTATGTATGGGCGTGTGTATGTATGTATGTATGTGTGCATATATTCTTCCAATAATGAAACTGGAAACAGCAAATATTGTCTTGTTCGGTGAGAGGGTGCTTTATTGAAGCAAGCGTGGGGAATGATTGTTGGAAATGGTTCCTGCTGAGCTGCCTTGTTTGCATTTGCAGCTCATACAACAGTGTAATGCCAATTTCCAATTCCACCTTTTCTCCCATAACTCAATCACTTACTCCCCAACCAATCCTCCATCAATCTTATCCCTTTCATCACTCCCATCAACTTGCTTTCTTCCATCTTTATTATTCTATGCACTTCTTACGCAATTTTTAAATTTCTTCTATAAAATAATACAACAGTGTAATATTTCAACTCATTTATACCCACTTTTATTTTGTACAAATTTATTGTTCTTGTTTCCCCCTCATTTTTATTTCTCAACTTTAAATTCTTATTTTATATATATATATATATATAACCCGTTGAAGAGTTTTTCTCATGGTTGGATGTGACAACCGATGTGTATACATCTGTAAGTATGCATCACATCATTTACAACTCAGCCACACGTACGTGCTAGTACCAGAAGAAAATGTAAAACTAAGAATGAATAATAATGATAAAGAGAATGATATATTTATTTTACAATCTTCTAATCTTGTTTAAAAGGGTATTAATTTCGAATTTATTTTAATTTAAAATTCAATCATAATAAAAAAAAAAAATATATATATATATATATATTATTAAACAAAGTACAGCTATAAAAGACAAAATTTAATAAGGAATGAAGGCCTTGACAATTCTCACCTGGTAGGTTTGCACAGCTAACTAAGATTTAGAAAAATAAATATAAAAATGATATTGGGAATATTATAATCATTTGTAAGAATCTAAAACTAATTCTTTAAATTAAACCATATGGTGGGAAGCAATAATGAACAATGATAATGATGATCACCCAACTAATAATGGTGACACGTCTCTAAACAAATCCCAGTTTTGTTTAGTTTAGGTGCCGCCTCGCCAACAAAGCACTTGTTAATCAATTCCATTAATTACTTTATTAAACTTATTATCATTATTATTTATGAACAAAAAAAAAAAAAAAAAGTTAATACCATTAATTATATTCGTTAATCGAACCCACCCTGTTCGGTATGTCACATCCACGTCCACTAATTAAATTTGGTCGAGGAGAGTAGCCAATCGGAATACAATAGATGTTGTTAAGTATTAATACTTTTTACTTTAATTAAAAATTTTAATCACGGTTTAAATTTTGTCCCATGATCCTAAAGCTTTTGTTTGTTGTGTATAGTTTTTATTAAATTTGTTTTACTCGTGAGTTAAAGATTTTAGTATTTATAAGAATCGAAGTTATGTCCACGACATTAATTTAAAATGGAAAGAAAATAGTGAAAATTAAGTTAAAGTAGGAGAAAGAGTTGGCGTAAACGAGGTTCCATTTATGTTGATTGCGTGGATGAAAAGCCATTCCCTCTCTTTCTCAATCTTTTCATCCACCAAGCACCACCGACCTCTCTCTCTCTCTCTCTCTAAAACTATATATTATAATAACCACTTGTTTTGTGCACAAACAAAGGGTTACGAATGATATGATATGATTCTTGTTATGGGACATTTATATAATATATAATAGAAATTATTGCCAAAACTAATAAAGATATAGCTATATCATTCCCAATTTCTGTAATCCTCAAATATAAAATACCCAACAATTGGGATTTAAATTCATTTGTGTGGATTAGAGCACTGCGTTGTAAAGGCGCAAACATTGGGAAACCTAATCCAATATTGGCCTCTCCCCCCCATCTCATCACATGCGTGACACCCCCTCTGTGTCCAATTCTCATTTATTTATCCCTTATCCGCCTAAGCTCATGGATGGATGTATGGATGGGTGGATGGATGGTCTATAAACTAATTATGTAATTTGGGTTCCCTTCCAATTCCTTTTCTTCTTCTTCTTCTTCTTCTTCTTCTTCTTCTTTAATTGTTTGATAGACAGACAGAGTGACAGACGATTGAATTTGTCCCTTCGCCCCTCGACGACGTGGTGGCCGTCTCCTATTCTTCCTCTTATTTCTCCTTTCCCCATATAAACAAACTTGTACCCAATTCTCTCTTATGGCTCTCCATTCCAAGTGATTCAACGCAAACCCAAACCCAAATCTCAACTACCTCTAATACCATGGAACAAACACGCGACTCGACCATTCCGGAGAAGCGCAAGCAGCTGACAGGGCGGCAGGAGAAGCCGTACAGGGGGATTAGGATGAGGAAGTGGGGGAAGTGGGTCGCCGAAATCAGGGAGCCCAACAAGCGGTCTAGGATTTGGCTTGGTTCTTACACAACCCCCCTCGCTGCCGCTAGAGCCTACGACACCGCCGTCTTCTACCTCAGAGGCCCATCCGCCCGCCTTAACTTTCCCGACCTCATCTTACAGGACATGGACCACCAGCTTCTGGACGTTTCACCTTCTTCAATTCGCAAAAGAGCTATTGAGGTGGGTGCCAGAGTGGACGCCGCCGCCAACCGAACTTCTCTCCGGCAATCGAAACCCATTTCCGAGAAGCCCGATTTGAACCAGTTTCCGGAGCCGGAAAGCTCGGATGAAGATTGTTGAGTGAGGATCACTGTTTGATAGCCTTGTCCACATATTTTTCATGTTTTACCAGCTCTCCCCTGTTCTCCAAAAAGAGGATGAGGATGATGAAATACGGAAGAAAGAAAATCAAATCTTGGGTTGGGGTGGGGTGGGGTGGAATTTAAATTGAAACGAACCCAAAGTGGTTCCCCTTTCCCCTTCTTAGTTTGCTATATCTTTGATTATAGCTTCCAATTTGTAACATGGGAGATGGTAAAGCAAGCTTGTTGATGGATCCTTGCTCTGATTTATCTTTTTTTTTCTTTTTTGCATTATTAATTTCTTGCGATTGGTCTGAATTAGTTTTATTTTTACATCTTCCGGGAAAATGGGTGTTTGAACGGAAGGGATGAAAAAGGAAGAAGACGAAGAAAACGGAAGGGTAATGCGGCGTTGATTGCTCTAAATTTTGCTAAGAAGAAGAAGAGGAAGAAGAAGAAGAAGAAGAAGAAGTAGAAGATAAGGATGAGTTTTTGTTTGGGTGGGCCGCCGTGTGGAGTCCACGAATCGAAGGATAATGTCGCCGTCGCCGTCGTCATGTTGGATACTTGACTTCCCAAACGGAAACGGAAACGGAAACCAGAATTGTAAGTTACTTCTAGAAGGTCGGTGGTAATATTTTTATTTATTTATTTATTTCTCATCCTATACTTTATATTGGCAAAGGCGATAGGCTGACACGACAACAGACACTTTTCACAAATTTTATTGGGAGTTTTCCAAGATAATAAATCCGACCGACCACTTGGCACTTAGCTGGCATTGTCATTTATACATACACAAATTATATATATATTATTCGCCCACACCCATTTAATGGGAGTAAGATGACTCCCCAGGAAGTTTACTAATAAATACATGTTTTATCTGTGGATAATATTATATGATTTGGGAGAGTTTTGATTTTGTTGTATAATTTGATGGGTCAATTAGTAGGTTAGTAAATATGAACCTAGTTTTTTGAGCGCTGAGGTGAATAATAATTATAAATACGAAGCTAGTTTAGTGATTGAAGGTTTGAGCGCTGAGGTGAATAATAATTATAGTTTAGTCGTTGTGGTTTATTTCATAATTAATGTTTTATAACTTTCTTAAATGCATCTAGGAGTACTTTGTTTATCGTTCATTAAAGCTTCAAACCAAATAAATAAAAATATAATATTAAATGTATTTATTTTCATTATGAAATTATATGAAGACGAGATAGTATATGGAAGTGAAGAAAAAGTAAAAATACAAGGAAACAAAATCTTGAATGATATTTTTGAAAAGAAGATACATAAAAGTTAGGGTTTATATTATTGGGTAGTGCGTTGTTTGTAAGCCCAAAATATTTGGAGGATGAGAGGAGATTGGGCCCAACTATAGATTGGGCTGCCATGAAACTGGAATATTTGATGAAGAAGAGGGGGAGAATGGAATAAAAAAAATGGATGGGGATATCAGATATGTTTGAATTATTGGGGAGGAGGTGATGGTTGGTACAACAAAACAGAATAGAATAGAATTAAATCAAATCAAATCAAATCAAATCAATGGCAGACGAGTGTGAGTGTGAGTGCGAGTGAAAATTGAATTTGTGCGAAACAAAAAGAATAAGAAAAAGGGAATGTTAGCAGAGGCATACCATCATCATTTGGACTGCCATCCATTTGGCATTCAAATCAAACCCACTTTTTTATTTCTTTTTATTTACGAGTACGAAAATGCAACCACTTTCCCTAACATGACAACACCTAAATCCTTCAACTTTCCCTCCCTCACTTTTTTCTCGGGAAAAAATAAAATTGTAAAGTCATAGGCCCCAACTCGATAACAATCATGCCTCGTCTACAACTACTACTGCTGCCATTATTACTATTTCTCCATCAATTTCAACTATCACTTTCCTACCCATAAATAAAGCTTTCCATACACAAAATAAATAAGTTAGTAGGTGCTGAGTGTTTAGTGTAAATACAAGGTTGAATGAAGGAGAGGTTATCAGATTATTGGGCTCCAGAATAATAAGCCCACCCCCCTCTTAATTAATCATCTAATGTGGGCCGTTGATTTAGAAACATTGAACAACAGGTGTTTACGTGGGAAATGTGTGGTGTGGGGCATAGACACGTGCAAATGATGGCTGTGTCTTCCCCTAATCTAATCATCATTTCCCACCGCTTCTTCCACTGTGTGGGACCCTCCTTCTCCCCCTCCCAAATCACACGTCCCCCCATCATTTCTTCTTTCTTTTTTCCTTAATACCAGACTCAAATCATTCCATTTCTATCCCATCCCCCACACCCTCTTACCTTTTTTCATTTCTCCCTCGCTAAATTTCATCAATTGAATTGAGTTATGTTAATATTAGATGTTAGTGTAAATGTAAATGTAAATGTAAATGATGGGAATGAAGATGGTGGGGGGTGGTACTTAAAAAGAGGACAAAATGGAGTCAAGTCAAGGGTAATGATGATGATGATGATACTACTAATTTCAACATTTTGGACACCATTCCTCTCCTCTTCCCCCGCATTCCTCTCAATCTTCAACATTTCAACCATTAGCCTAATCATTGGTTACGCACCAAATGAATGCGGGACTGAGACTGAGAGCCACACCGTGCGTCTGCTTTCTACTTTTGCCTTTGCCTTTCACTACGTGGGGGAATCTCTCTTTTACCTTCCATCACAGTCCACACTAATTCATTTTGACTAATCCTTTTCCTCATCCATCATCATCCCTTTCACTTCCAACCATTTTCCACTAATACGTTCATTTGTTGTATTACTACTGGAGGCCATTAATAATGAATAGTAAACAAATGGTTAGGTTAGAGGTAGAGGAAGGAAGGAGAATATAGAAGGTATATAAGAACAAGAACAACACTTGCTGTCCTTCCTTTCACCAACAAAATCTAAGGCAGGATGGAATAATTGAGAGACGAAAGGGCATTGGGTTAGCTGTCTCTTGGTTTTACGCTACCCATCCATATCAAATCTAATAACCCTTTTTCTATTTGTCAAAGATTTGTTTTTTATGCGATTACATTATTTGAATCCCATGTGCGCTATAATCTTATAAATTTGTCCACTTATTTGCATTGCATTAGATGAGTTATTTGGTTGAGGCACACGTGAGTCAGCAGAAGGCTTTTGAATTTTGATGATGGTTAATAGTAATGAGGGTGCAGCTGGCAGATTGAGAAGCGTGTAATATTGTAATTTGTAATTTATAATTTGTAGAGCGGCGGAGGGTATATATTTGGGAAATTGCGTCAACAGCTCCCAAAGAAGTGTGTGGGGGGTTATTGGGAATATAGAATTGGGAGGCTTTGTTTCAGTAATATATATATATCTAAATGGATTCTCAGTGCACTTCACTTCACTTCACTTCACTTCACACCACACCACACCACACCACACCACCGTATGGTATAATAATAATTATAAAGCATATAGAGGTTTGTTGGGATTGGAGGAATTATACTTTTGTTTTGTTTTTTTTGGTGTCTCTCTCTCTGTCTTAGTTGGTTTGGTGTTTCCAGCTTTATAGTAAAAAGGATGAGAGAGGAAGAGAGGGCACCGAAAAGCAAACACACCTTATGATGAAAGCAAGAAAATAAAACCCACCCGATTTGACTGCCCAACTCTCTTCCTACTCCCACATGCATTGCACCCTCATTCCCATTTTCCTTTTCCTTTCATTCAAATACAAATATCCCTTTCTCTCTTTCTTCCCCCCCGCCCAAATTTACACCAATATTCCATCTTCTTTTCTTACCCAAAAATAAATAAACTAATCTCTAAGAACCTATTCTAACCACTCAGAATTTTTACCAACTTTTACTACATTTTTTTTATGCATGCAAGCATGTGCATTTGAAAAATGAATAGTCCATGAATATACAAGTGTATTATTAGTACGAGGTTCTTCGAGTCTTCTTCCATTAGAAGATTTATTTTTGTTGTTTTTCTTCCAACTCTCCGCTACACTTGTCTATTCCATTATCTATTTATTATTGTGAGATCCCATAAGCATTTCTTATAAACAACTTGAGACCTCTCTTTAGTAGATGCATTTTAAAATTGTGAGGTTAATTGCAATATGTAACAAGTCAAAACAAACTATATTTGCTACTACTCATAGGTTTAGGTTGTTACAAATGATATTAGAACTAGATATAGGGCGGTGTGCCAGCAAGAACACAGGACCTCCAAAAGGGTGAATTGTGCGATCCGTTTGAGGGGAAACAAAACATTATTTATAAGCATGTGAAAGTCACCCCCTAGCGGACGCATTTGAAATTGTGAGGCTGACAAAAATATATAATGAGCAAAAGCGGATAATATAGGATAAGGATGGGTTTAGATTATTGGAATATATGTATTGAGACGTTAGACGATGGTGAGAAAGTAACGATGGTTGAAAAACACTTAAAACCCTAAAAATTATAATCCTAAACATCTTAAAGCTTTAACGTTGTATACTCTCATAAACTCATAAACCCTAAAAACAAACACCTTTATGGTCTAAGGTGGAAATAAAATAATAATAAATTGAGGCAAGGGAAGTATTTTAAGTAAGACAAACAATCACTCCATCTTCCCTAGTTTGTTTGGAAGGACCTTGACTATTATTTTTATTTTTGAATATAAATATAAATATAAATAATAAAAAAAACTGCAGTATTCCTGTAATCTGCCCCTTTGTTGTCCCAAAGAAAAAAGATAAATGGTGAAGTCAACCTCACCTCATCATTTGGTCTTGCTTCTTCTAAGCACCACTTCATTTCCCACTTTCTTTTTACCCATTTTACTTACCTTTTTTTTTTTCCTTCTTTTTTCTTCTTTTTTCTTTTTCCTTTGGGAGGGAAATCTTTGAGTGTGTGTATACTATATAATAAGAGGTGGTGGGCTTGATGCGATTCTTCACCCATGGGATCAAGCATGAAGGTTCATCAGTTCGCACGTGGATTTTGGGACGAACCCTCCCTCTCCCTCGGCTGCAAGCGCTTACGCCCTCTTGCCCCTAAGCTTCAACAACAACAACACCAACAACAACGACATCCCTCCTCCTCCTCCTCCGATCATAACACTACCACCACCACGCTCACCACTTTGGACCTCAAGACCTTCATCCGACCCGATTGTGGCCCCAGAAAACTGGGTTCCTCTCATGACCACAACAAAGGCTCTTCTTCCTCTTCTTCCTCTTCTTCCCCCCAGGTAACTAACCACACAACTATTATCTACCTTCTGTTGGGGTTTGGGGTTTGGGGTTTGGGGTTTGTTTAAAACTGAGAAATTACCCCGGGGGTTCAATCAAATTTGTGCAGACGGCAGTGGAGACACATCCCGGGGGGACGCGGTGGAATCCAACCCAAGAACAGATTGGGATATTGGAGATGCTGTACAGCAGAGGAATGAGGACTCCCAATGCCCAACAGATTGAGCACATCACTGCCCAGCTCGGCAACTACGGCAAGATCGAAGGCAAGAACGTGTTCTATTGGTTTCAAAACCACAAAGCCCGTGAGCGACAGAAACAGAAGCGCAACAGCCTGGGTCTTCCCCACTCCCCCAGAACCCCCCCTCCTCCCATCCTCCCCACCTTCCACCCTTCTTTCCCGGTACGCTACAAAATTCAATCAATCATCCCATATTTTCAAATACTCAAAACCCAACATTATCTAAATATATATATATATATATATATATTTAAAATTGCAGGGAGAGGAAGACAGTCCGTACAAGAAGAAGTGCTTGTACTGGGGGTTTGAGTGTTTGGTAGAACATAACGGTATATTGTGTAAAAGGGAGGACGGTGATAGGACTCTGGAGTTATTCCCGTTGCACCCAGAAGGCAGATGATCCAATTTGTTGCGATTTTTTTCCCAAATTTCAAAAAAAAAAAAAAAAAAAAAAAAAAAAAACTTTTAATTTTGATAATCTGTGTTGTCACGAATGTGGTTTAAATTTGTGTTTCTCTCTTTTTTCTCTTCTTTCTGTTGGGTTTGGAGAAAGAAGAAAGAAAAAAGAAAGGCCAACAACAACAACAACTACCACTCTCTTTGTACTCATCTATCTAATTCTTCTCTTTATCTCTCTCTCTCTCACCCAATTTCTCTTCCTTTTTTCCTTTTACCAACAACACTTGTTTACAAAAACGCATCCTTTTGTTTGACAAAATGGAAGGCTTTTTAGGTTAAAAGTGGAGGAGGGAGAGGCATTATTGGACACTGAAGTCCACGACCCTGCCTTCCTTCCCCCTTCCTTGTGACCTTATCCTTCATTCTCGGATTTCAAACTTACACTTTTGCCACCATTAAACAAAAGCATTAAAAAAAAAAAAAAAAAAAAGAGAAGAAAAATAGACCACTTACTTACACAACACTTTCATAAAGTCGCATATCAACCCAATCTCGGGACATCAGTTCCTTTTCTTTTCTCTTTTCTTTTGTGTTTGGAGGATTGTTGTAAATTGTGACATGCATGTATTTTAATTCACACATCACAAGTGCTAAGTGGGGGCCAATCCTCTTGGAGGGAAACCAAATATTAACACCCTCCATTAATTTCAAATATCATCATCATTATGATAATAATAATAATACCAATAATGGAAATAGGTAGCTACCCCTTCCGAAATCCAAAATAATTGTCAAATTTATGTTTATCCATTACCATAACTCACAGTCTGTTCGCAATCATGATGATGATGGGGTCTAAACAAAACAAAACGTTCATGTTCGTGTCTCACCTCCTCTCAACTTTCTATTATCATGAAATTATCATAAATTCTCTCGACTTATGTTTGGACGATTATGGAGTGAATTCATTTTGTTTTCGTCGAGTTATTAAAATTATTGTGGGCTTTGGGATTTCAAAAATAAAATAAAACGAGCATCTTTGTAAAGAATTATCACAAAAGATCAAACGTTTTTTCTTTTTAATAATTTAATTCATCGCCGTCATTGAAAAATATTGAATCTAAAACCTGTTTTTAAAGGAGCCATGAGAGATTAACTATTCAAAAAGCGATTTAATTGGTATTTTAGTGTTTATAATTGGGGTTAGTGAAGAAGTGTGATGATTATAAGAGGAAGGAGTTTAGGTTTGATTTTTTTTTAATAAAGAGACTTTACCCAATTGATCAATCAAGTAGATCGTGTTAGATTCTGGTGGGCCACGTGTCTAATCACATTTTCACGTCCTAACAAACCTCCCCTCATCCTATTTGCCTTTTTTTTTTTTTTTTTTTTTTTTTTTTTTTTTTTTTTTTTTTTTTTTTTTTTTTTTTTTTTTTTTTTTTTTTTTTTTTTTTTTTTTTTTTTTTTTTTTTTTTTTTTTTTTTTTTTTTTTTTTTTTTTTTTTTTTTTTTTTTCGAACTATAATTTTAAATTTCTTTTATTTTTATTATAATATTTTAAGATATAATGGAAGAGGATATTTTCGGTAGCCTTCCTCCTAGGCTTGTTGTCAATATGCATGGCACTAGCCTTTATTTTTATTTACTTTTTCTCCAATTCCCTTTTTGCCCTCCAACCTTACTCGCCTCAATTACTAGAATAGAAGACGACACAAATTAGTATCGGGCTTAAAGCCCAGTCCAAGATTTTTCAACACAAACAAAAAGGCCCAAATGCTTGTGGACTAGAGAGATTGGGCTGTTTGGCCTTGGTGGGCCAAAATCTAGAGAGATTGGGCTGCTTCGTTCTGTTTCCATGTAATAGAGCTGCAAGGGGCGTTGACTCAATCTTGTTCTTTACTTCACTAACTGACAAACCCATTACAATTGTGCTGCTTCGTCGCTGCCCCACCCACACCCACACCCAGAAATGACGGATTCGTAATATATTTGTTTAGGTGCGTTCTTATCTATCTATCTTCTACTAATTCTTTTTCCTTCTTGTTTATGTCATATTCTGGAATGTTATAAAATATGAAACTCGAGGGGTCGTTTTCGTTTATGTTGGTGTTTCTGATGTATCTGATTTGAATCAAAATTATCACTTGGTTGAGCATCTGATTTGACTTCACAACCTCTCCTACACCAGCAGACCAATACTCATTGTTTATAGTAGTATTCATCCGTGTCCCACGGACGCTTATTCGATTGTCTGATATTTTTGTAATTGGAGGCTCTTCTAGATGTGATATTTTGTACTTCGACCAATTTTCCCATTCAATGTTTGTAATACATCAAACTTCCCTCTTCGAAAGGAAATTTTTGTGTGGGCAGAGTTATATTTTTGTGGTACACCATTTGGACAAAGCAACTTAGCATAAAACGTCTTACCATACACTTGTTTGTCTTTTGGCATTCCTCTTACCTTTTAAGATTGTTATAGATGCTTCTGGTGTGTTATCGGCTATGATTTTGTTCAAGATATAAGTTGAGAATGAAAAATCTGCACAAAATGCGGTAGATAAACTAACGGAATGCTGATCAACAACTAACAAAACTGGGACGTTGATACACCTCTTGGACAGCAATTAATGGGCTTGAATGATAAAGAGTAGGTTGAAAAGCTCTGAAAATTTGTGAGTTAAGAGTTTAAGAGTTGACTGAGCAGATTAACTTGCCAAGTATCTAGATATAAACTTGGTTGACGATGATAAATTTTAGTGATCTTCGAGTTGCTACAATTTCCTCATTCAAAGTTTCTTAATTTCTTTTTATGCTATAACCATGCAGTTCCAACTTTGTCACTTTTTTTTCTCTAAGCCCTTACTAAATTCACAGAAAATGCCCAATTGTTAGAGAATTCGTTAATGTTCAGGATTTGCTATTTTGTTGAACTAAGAACAAGCATGTTGAATGGCAATTCTAATATTTCCTTGATTCTTTTGTACTCTTAACTAGATGATAGAGCTAATGTTTGTCACGCCCCTGTATATATGGGAGATTGTTCAAGTTTTCGGGGAGATTGTTCGCTTAGTGAGGCAAGAATATTAAGATTGCTTGTAAGGGAAACTGACCATCTCCTTGAATTACTTTTTTGATTAATAAATACAGTTCCCAGTTCCCATAGATTTTCTTTATGTAAGAGCAATTGATAATTGGATTTTTGCTTAAAAAATCGGAGCAACCTTATAAGTTCCAGTCTGCTGCCTCGTAGGTTGCTTGTGTCACTTTCAGGAAACCGTTCTTAATGTTCTCTATATATTACTGTTGGAAATTTTCTGTTGAAACCTCTCTTCCATGCACCATGCAAGCGTTTTGCATAAACTCTTCAATATGTATGCATTTTTCAGTAGAACTATGTCTTTCCCATCATGGAATACACTATTATAGTAGCCGATATTTACCCCCATTCAATATAAATGTCTTCCCTGTAAGAAACAAAAAATTGTTATCTAGAATATGCAGCTTTGATGTTATTGCTTTCTTCTCCCAAATATTTTGTTTTCATCCTTCTCTTCTTTTGACTTTTTCTTCGTATTCTTATTCTGAGTGTAGCTTGCGAATTTCTCTTATTACTATGGATAAGATGACTGATATTGTGGCGGTTAGATGAACACATCTCTCCCCAATAGAATGATATTGTCCACTTCGAACATAATCTCTCGTGACTTTGCTTTGGGCTTTACAAAAAGACATCATGCCAATGGATAGAGTATTTTTTAATTATAAATCCATGATGATTCCCTAAATTAGCTGACGTGGGACTTTCATCGACTGTGTCAATCACTGTCGTGGTGAAATGGTCAATCTCAGATGTTTTAAGAGGGTTGGGGGCTCAAATAGTGGTGCCTGAGATAATCAAATATCGTAGAGTTTGATAGTTATTCTATTAGTTTAATTGAGATCCATGACCCACGATTGTCATAATTCGTTTTGTAAATTTCGCTGTTGGGATCTAGATGGTTTCCCCATATTCGTATGCGTTTCCCTCCACGCCACCTCTGTTGTGGGATGACTTCTCGGGCATGTATTCGATGATATTCTGGTGTTCCTTGGGTTGAAGATTTTAATATTCCTGGGGGGCGGGGAGGGTAATCAGTGATGGTTTCTGCTGTAATTCTGAGTACTAAATGGTTGAAAAATTGGTAGTAGTAGTAGAAGCTGCAGAAACAAACAGTCAGAAAAGAAAGCTGCAAGTTCTCTGCGTCCATTTACGTTATGCGTACATTCTTCTTCTTCTTTCTTTTTCCTAAAGAGAAATTCTACCATGGCTCTCCTCTATATAGATCGGATTTGGTTTTCAGCAGCTAACTTCCCCGCGATGTGGTCTGCTAAGGTTTTTCCCCATGACTTCTGCTCTCTATGCTAAAACTTTTCTCTAGGCAGGTGCTTCTTTGCTACATGGATGCTTCCAGGATGGGCCAAATTGAAGTTTCACAAATACTGAGTCACTTAAGACTTTGAAGACAAGTGGCGGAGGGTATTTAAGGAGTGTTTTCCAGACGCTGTATGACATACCAGCTGGTCGCATGAGGGGTATGTGGCTGCCACCAAAATTCAACGGTCGTTGGTCTTGCATTTTGTAGTCAGCTACATTTGTTGGCGTAGAAAGCGTAAGACACATTCGAATCTATATCCTACGGTGTGCATTTTCGTATTGACCTTGTGCATGTCATTAGTTTGCGTTTCTTTGTCCTGCAACTCCCAATGTTCAGCCGACACCTAGGAAACAACATTTACCTTCTAACACGTGTATTGTAATGAAAGTGGCCACAATTAAAATAAAGAAAACTGTTTGATGTTTATCGTATCAGACCCACGTTTCTGTTTGTGAAACCTCTGCGAAATTGCTTCTGTTTTCCTTGCCTTTTCACACAATTTCGGTCCTAATTATTTGATTACCTTCTTCTGTATTATGATTGGACTGCTGGTGGCTTCCCACGTGTGTGGCTTAAGCTGGGAGCAAATACTTTTCTTATGGACCAGGACGTGAATGGGTATCAAATCCATCTTATGAACCAAGTTTCCTGGTAATTTTGAACACATCTCAAACAAGTTAATTGATGGCCTGAAAATGTTGAGTTCGGTTTTAAGATTCACCCAATAGTTATTACCATTCTTTGCTTTTGATGTGAAGAGTTACTTTCAAAATTTCCAACTTTGTATGCAAAGTTCAATGAAACTTGACGATGAAAAAGCCTTTTTTTTTTCTTTCCTTTTTCTGCTTATTGCTCTTAGTCTGAGTTGCATTGTGATATTATTGTTTTGGAGCTATGGGTGAACCGTTCCACCAAGGACTGGTCTTTGCATCATTTTCACCCTTCTTTCTTAAACTCCTGCAGTTCTTTCCACTTGATGGTTTGGTAAATATATTTACTTCAACATTTGCAGATGAAAGGGATCGGCATGTCAGTTTTCAGTGATTATTGCAGCAGACGCCTTTTCATTTGTTGTACCATTTCCGTTCCTTTTTAAAAAAATAAATATTATTTAAAGTTCTTGGGTGATAGGTGGGATTGATTAGCACATTTTTCTGCTGTTTGATTATTGACAAAAGTTGCATCCAATTTTCTTTCTTTGACACATTCATTTTGATTCAATTTCAATCTTCTTTCTACTCATTTTGAGAAGAAAATTTGCAAGTGACAAAGATGCCCACTTATAATGGTGGGTTAGGAGAAAGGCAATCTTGGTTCCCTCACGGTTTAACTCGATAATTATATCTCCCGCCGTTGGTTAAAAGAAGAATATGAAAAGTTACCCATCTCAAATGCTTGGTTAATTTCACTCTCCTCAACCCTTTATGCCTAAGCCACAGTAAATTAGGTGGATGACCCCAAATACCTGATTTCTGGGTTTGGTAGATCCATGATTTGTAATACTGAATTTGCAAAAGAGAAGGAAAATGGATTTGAAATGGTAATTATGTGAAATTATTGATGGATCTCACGGTTCCATCTTGGCAACCAACCACTGTTTTGCCTCCGTTTCACGAGTGGTTTCTTTATTCAAAGGGCCAATCTCTCTCTGTCTCTGTCTCTATCTCTATCTCTATCTCTATCTCTATCTCTAGATGTATAAATTTATGTGGGTGCATGATTGAGCCCTCATATATTAAAGTGATATATTTTATTTTATAACTAAGCAAAAGCATCTAAGCTAAGCCGTCTGGGTTGTTGATTAGCCAAAGCCTTAGGTTTGGCCATCTATTTCTCCAATTAGTCAAAAGCATTGAAATGTTGTAAATTCTCTATGGTGGAACGTTATTATAATAAGTACGTGTGATTATGATTCTAAAAAAAGCATAAAATTTTCCCTTTGGGAGATGGGAAGGCTTTGGTGTTTAACAAGCAAACAAACCCATATGGTATAGAGAAATTGGTATCATATTGTGAGGCCTGGTTTGATGGCATAAAGAAACAGAGGGTATATGGCAAAGCAAATCCACATTTGAAAGACAGTAACAAATAAAAGAGAGAAGAACAAAAAAGTGGGAATGGCACCAAAACCAAAAAGAAGGCATAGGGCCACAATTGAGGCATGAACGGTGGGGGGTGGGCATTCATTTCAAAAGGGGAAGTTGGGTTAAGAATCTGGCCTAATACTCAATTAGCTTCAGCCTTTCACATTCTTTTAAGCAACACTGCCAAATAAAATCCAAAACGTATATAATACGAGGGATGTGATATGATTCTGTATTTGCAAATTTTATACGTTACATTAAGCAAATAAAAGTAGAAAATAAAAAATTGAATGATTATTGTGATTATTAACATTTGTTTGACCACGTGCTGGGTAAAGGAAAAACTTCCCCCCGTTAATAGATGGTCAAAAATTACACACAAACAGCCGTGGCAGCAAAGAAAGGAAACGAAATCTCAAGTTTAGGAATGGGAGGGACCCAGGAAAGGAAAAGGATCCTTGCCACGTTTATGCTTTTTATTTTGTGCATCTTATTTGGTCATATTTTACAGCCCTAATCCACTGTAGAGAAAGAGAGAGAGAGAGAGGGTGGGTGGAATTGAAGGCGAAAGAGGAGGAGGAAGAAGAGGGGAGTGGGCAAGTGGGGGTGGGGCTGAGGCTGAGGCTGTCCATGGCGGACATTGGGAGGCGGGTCCTTTCTTTATATTCACTAATTTTCTTGCGTGTTTAGTTTTCTTCTCTTTTGAGGGTTTTTCTTTTCTAACAAACCAACACAAGATGGAGACTTTGAACCTGGGCCCTGAGCCATTTGGTAAGCGTCGCAACGGGACACACTTTTATTCTCTCTCTCTCTCTCCTTTTTTCTTTTTCATTGTTGGTTAAAGAAATTTTATTAAATTCTGTGTCTATAGATGGGAACGCCCTTGCCTGTCCTGTCCTCCTGCGTGTGAACTGTTACTCCCCCTCTCCCTCTCCTTTTTATTCTTCTGGGTTAATTCTTCAAGTTTTTATCTTGGACATGGTCTTTTGTCTACCTCACATCCCCCACCTTTCCCTCACCCATTACTCGGTGGGTTTTGTTATCTCCCACTTTCATTCCGTGGGAGGTTCTCAAACTTAAAGCTTTTTTCTCCCTCACTTCCGTTTAGGGATTACTTCCTTGGGTTTTCATCCGAGATCCTTCTTCATAGATCCGGCCATCTTTTTCCCTTTTCAAATTTCAAATTTCAAATTTCCATCTCTTTGGTAAGTCTTTTTGACCTCCTTGTTCTTGGTTGATCGGTTCTGGGTGATGGATGATTCAATAATCGAATGTTTGATCTTTGTGGTTATTATCGTCTATTATGGAGGAGGTTTTTTAATGCCTTAACAGAATTAGCGGATAATATGAATACTGTTCAACATCATATATTCTTTCGTTTTTTTTTTTTAAAAAAAAACTATAATCTTCTTCGTTTGGGGGTTTTGTTAAAGGGTATATTGAAGGGTGAAAGGGTTTGGCTTTTGACTTCTTCAATCTGAATTTTGAACTAATCTTATCGGCGACTTCGGCGATGATGGTTCTAATCACGCCAAAATGTATGGATATAAGTTTAGCGGCCATGATTTCTCCGCCTATATCAGTGCTTTTTTCTAGGTTGTTTGGAGTAGAAAATTTCAGTTGTTTTGATCGCTGTTGGGGTTAAGCTGTTTGCCTAATCTGGGAGTCTGATTTTAATCGATTCTGGGATTTAGTTCTGTAGCTTCGATGCCTTAACGTTTTCCCTCTTGTGGATGGATGGGATGTGTTTTTGACGCTTCGCTGTGTTTTAACCCACAATTTTTGGTTCATTTGCTTATTTGACATTTGGGACAGTTTCTGGACTAGATGAAATTATGTACTATTTCATAATATTAATGTGAGAGCGTCGCATTGTTGTGAGCCCTCTTCTAGGGATAGAAACATGCAAATGAGTAATTGAATCTGCAAGTGCTTGCACGTTAGAAATGTTTTATTGAAGTGAACATTTTGCACTTGGATATTACGTTTCTGTGTTGCTGAGTTATCATCAGTTGTCTCTGGGTGCTTGCTTACATTCTGGATTTGAAGGGTTCCTCCATATCCTATTATTTTTCTTTCCTTTGCTGATATAATGTTGCATGCATTTCTATGCACGATATGGGACTGCAATTTCTCACAGGTGTTGGACATTTCACCTGCAAGATGCCATTTAACGTTTTTTAGACAATATTGTAAACTTCCAGTGTTACATTGTTACCAAGTGCCAAAATCAGTGTTTCTTTGACATCCACATGAAGTTCTTGTTGTTGATATCTTCATATAGTTTTGAAGTTTCTCTGTGCTGATTAAGTTTTATTTCTAGCTGATAGGCCAACACATGTATGGATGGAACTAGAGGTTTCAAAATATTGTAAATTTTGTACTGATCATATCACATGTGTCTGTTTGTAATCAAAATAAATTTAAGTTCCATTTATAGGAAGCAAGTGTTGCTCAGTAGTATTAGGTTGTTGGCTTGGATTGCTATAGATAACCATTAAACTGAATTAGACAAAATTAGTATTTCTTGATGTTTGCTTGTGCTGCTAATGTCAATCTATTGAGGGCATGAAGCTCTTACCTTGTGATTTATCTTGTCATTTTGGATTTTTTTTTGTTCTTTATCCATTCTTGGTCCACATTCCTATACTCATTTAGAAATTGTTTATATTATGAATGCTATCAAATAGTACTTGGTACCGTGTTTAAGTTTCAAGTGTGTTGGTGCCTGCAAAAGTGTTGTGTTTGATCAATGAGTTTGTTTGTTTACATGCTAATTCATAATGTTGAATAAAGCCCTATAACTTCTTATTCTAATTGGCTTTCTGTTTCATCGGGTTTCAGATTCAGTCAAGTGTATGTGACTTGGTTTATGGTCCAGAAAACTTTGTTGACCTGGCTCTTATTTGATAGGGAATTTTACATTTTCTCTAATGCAAGGGCAAAGGAGTAGTGTCGGTTCATTGTCAGAAACAATTAACTTTGAACATGGATCTTCATCAAATAATCCTGGTAACCAACCAGTTTACTGGAATAACATGTGGAATCCAGCAGAAAACCGAATACCAGATTATTTATTGCCTACTTCTGATGTAAATTCTGGATATGTAAGCTCTGTAAGCCATGAACAACGAAGTTTGAGCAGATGGAGCTTGGGTGAACCTAGCTCTTGTGATATGCAAACTGATGTGCTGCCTGATGAGCAGAAAGCTGAGCTTGGATGGTCTTCAATGACTCGTGATGCAGATGGTCCCTTCACCGAAAACCAACTCTGTGAGCCATCAAATAATCCTTCACTGGGTCATGTGAATTTGAGCCCACTGATTATACAAAATTCTAATTCTAATAGTATTCCTCATACTCTGAATTTAAATGCAAGTTTTGCTAGTCATGGAGGTGACAGTAGCAGAGTTAACGAAGGTACTAACGTGTATAAATCGAGTGGATCAGAAGAAGGGGGGATTTTATGTTCTAGTGCATCTGATCCTCTTTTACTTCCTTCTGGAAGTAGTGGACTTCCAATGGTTGCAAATGATGGTAGAGCAGGCTCTTCCTTGGAAGGCCGTCGTGCACCCTGCAAAAGAAAATCTATTGAAGGAAATGTTGCACAGTCCTCTTTAAGCGGAAGCAGTAGCTACTCTCAGCATATTGAAAGGGGTGCTGAGCCCCCTCTTCCAGCATTACCTGGTCGCTACAACACAGGAAGTAGGTTAAGCATACCTGCTCCACTAGCACGAATGAATCAAGCCCCTATACGAGGTACAGGTGAATTGATGTCCAATAGCTTCTCTGAGTCGATTGTTGCGGAAAACTCAGACAGTTCTCAACGAAACTATCGTATACGGATTAGTTCATCAAATGCACAAGATTCTTTTGCATCGGTAGGAACCGTTGTTAGGCATCCTGGGGGCCCATCTTCCCAGCCGCCAGCAAGACTTCTACCTGCTGAGCATGTATTAGACTTGAGGCCAGCAGCAGCTGTAGACAATTTATCTGCTCAAGGTCAGCCTATTATGATACACGTGCCTGCTTTATCTCGAAGTCTGCAGCCATATAGGTGGATTAGAAGTTCTACTTCAAGAAGTGGTAATTCATCAAGCTCTGCAGGAGAGAGGCAGGTGGTGCAACGTGAGGAGGTGAGACCAAACAACATGGGAAGAAACGTATCTGAACATCCTATGTTTGTCCCAGCAAATGAGCTGAGGAATATAGTTCAAAATCAATCAAGTAGAGGTTTAACATCTTCGAGCTTGCCCATTCCTGGAAATGTTGCTTCTACATCCAGGGTTGGTTCAAGTTCAGGGGTCCATCCCTCTTCTGGACCTTGGATTCCTCCTGAAAGTTCTCCGACACAGTTTCCCAGGAGGTTAACAGAATATGTTCGTAGGCAGCTATTTTCTTCTGCAACAAATGAGTCTGGGGGAAGGATAAATAATTATTCACAGCGATCAGGTTCTACTTTGGCTCAGGATATGGTTCTTTCATCTGGATCTGACCGCCGGGGGCACCATTTATTGCAACCGAGGTCAGCATTATGGATGGAAAGAAGAGGTGATGGTGGACTTGGTCTTCCCTATTCATTACGAACCTTGGCTACTTCTAATGAAGGAAGTGACAACAATAGACTTGTATCTGAGGTATGTTAATATTTTTCATGGAGTAATTGAAGGACGGCCCTATATGCATATATGTGCTCTGTCTGGATGCCTGTCTGCATCTTCAACGCAAAGCTGTTCATTTTGATTGATGAATAATTTGAACATCATTGGTCCGTGAATTCTTTTTATTGCAAATCCCTTTATTCAACCAATTAAAAATAATTTCTACTATTGTGAGTATCTATGAAGGTTCTCTTTTAATGCAAGCCTTTATAAAATGAAAGTTGCCATTTCTAAGTTGCTGGATTGAATTTTTCTGGGGGCAGGTGTGCGTTTCAGTAGGTAAGTGCCCTGGTGGGGGTTGTGCCTGCTAGGATGGTGTTTGCTGGACTATAAAATGCAGTTAAATTCTTTGAGAAATCCTATTTGGCATGAGCTATATTCTATTACAAGCAACCTTCTTTTTATCAATCTTGCTCTAGTTGTTTTCAGTGAAAAAAATCTTGCTCCAATTCTAAATAAACTTACATCACAAGTATGGATTGTGCTATAAAAAAGAGTTGATGGATTGTAATGCTGTCTTTGACTGTTTAGTTTACCGTTGGTAGTCTATCATCCATTGATTCTCAGCGATCTTACCTTTTGAAATGAATATGAAGCTCACATGTTATTAATTTTGTCTGCAGCAGATTCGCAATGTCTTGGGCCTTGTTCGCAGGGGTGAAAGCTTACGAGTTGAGGTAGGATCCTTATTGGTTATGTATCATGGTCAAGTTGTGCATTGGCTAATTTACATGGTTGCAATGAGATACAAGCAGCCTCTATGTTGCATGTTTTGTTTTTGTTTAGATTAGTTACAATGTGAAAATGGTGGTGAACAGCAACTTGTCTTGTTCATACTCCAGTATTCTTTTTCTAGTCCACAGATAGAAATAAAGCTTTCAGGTGCGCTTTTACTTGGGTAATATCAAAATGGTTCACTTTAGTTGATATGAATAGCCTTTATGATAGTTTAGGACAGGGCCTTGTGTTTATGTAATTATGCCTCCTTGGCTTGAAACTTCATTTGGGGCTCTGAGATATTTGTACATGGTCTAATGTTGCTTTATAATTTGTTTTATTAGGATGTGATGATCCTGGACCAGTCACTATTTTTTGGGATGGCTGATATGTATGATAGGCACAGGGATATGCGTCTGGACGTTGATAACATGTCATATGAGGTGGGCCTGATGCAAACTAACCAACTGAAGCCATTATTTCGCACCTTTTTCTTGTTGGTTTGTTCATGTTCAAAGTATGTTAAGTGCAGGAATTGTTGGCATTGGAAGAGCGTATCGGAAATGTCAACACAGGACTAAGTGAAGAGACGATAGTTGGTCGACTGAAACAAAAGAAGCATGTGAATGCTGTTGAATCACAGGTGGAGGAAGAACCATGCTGTGTTTGTCAGGTTGTAACAGATTCATTCATACTCATACGTGTTCTTTGAGCTTTGTTATCACTCTTGAACCCGCCTGGTTTGATTGGTGTCGACTAACAACCCACCTGATTTCCAGGAGGAATACGTCGAAGGAGATGACATGGGAACACTGGAATGCGGGCACGATTTCCACACGGATTGCATTAAGCAGTGGTTGATGCAGAAGAATCTGTGTCCCATCTGCAAAACAACTGGCATAGCAAGCCGAGAATGATGCTTGCTGATGCTGGAAAGGAGTGGAAAGAAGCAAGCAAGTGCAAAACGAGGGGGGACGAAATGCCATGGTGTTGCTTGCCAAATCTCTACCTTTACCTCTGGTCGCAAAAATGGAGGAGCCAGCCACATTCAAGTCGCTCTATATACATTTCTACAAGTAGTAAAATTAAGCAATCATTTTTTTCTTTTTTCTTTTTTTTTTTTTCTTTGGTTTTATTCTGGAAGAACAAAAATTCAAGGGTTGTAATTGGCAAGGAATTGTTTGTTAGCTTCTCAAGGTGTTATGGATGGTGGTTGGTCAAACTAATTAATGTTTACTCCCATTGACATTAGAGATTATTGGTCCTTAAAGTATCTCATCATCGGATTTTCCCATATTTTTAGCTCACAAAACATATGGTACTCACTAATATTCAATCCATTTATTTATTTGTTTGTAGGATTTTTTGGATAAAATAAATTGCAAATTGCCAAACGGTGACGTTTTGCCGAGATAAGAAGGTGAATGATGCATCATTCATTATTACGCCTTTGACTTTCTCACTCTTCTGCCATCTCTCATTTACTACTCTTTTCATATCCAATCACTCGGGCTTTCAATTTATTTTATTATTATTTTTTTTTTATAAAGAAATTATTTTCTCCTCATTATTTAAATTTTTAAAATTTAGAGAAGGCTATTTATAAATTTTAACAAAAAGAAAATTATATATGAAGGGCAAAATGGTCATGTGGCAACGAGAAATTGAATTGCATAATTGCAACTACTCACATTAGTTACATTATGATAAAAGAAAAGGGCAGAAAAAGAAATTAGGTAAAAGACAAATGCTGTATTTTTGGGAAACTTTGTAAATAAAAGAAATAATGGGCCAAATTTTGAGAAAGAAGGCATTGATGGGCCGTGAAGCATAAAAAGAGAAAAAAGGACAAAAGGGAAAGACGGAAAGATTAAGGCGGGAGAGTTAGGATTAAGAAGGAAGGCGATGAGTTGAACCTCGGGAGGCAGACCAGAAGTCAGCAACTTCAGAAACACCATTAATGAAATCCTTAATCCTTGTTTTTGCTTTCTACCCAACAAAACGAACCATCCAACGCTTAAAGATAAGACGGAATCCAAGAAAAAGTACACTCAAACGCAAACCAATACGATGCAAATACAATTCCACACCTAACAGATATCCATTTTCTTGCACTCCAAAGCCTTTCTGCGCACAATTCCCACTTCAATTTCAAACTAAACCAACAAAACCCAACGTAATCCTTCATCCTTCCTTCCACCACTCCCTTTTCAGCCTCAATCATGGCGGATCTGTACGGAACTTCCCCTTCATCGGATGTTGTTGCTTTGCCTCATGACCCAGAAGGTTTCTCTTCCTTCATCAATCCCCACCTTCAAACCAACACTTCTTCTGCTTCTTCCCCTTCTTTCGTTTCCTTCAAGAACAAGTTCACGCCCTTGTTGCATTCTCAACCTCCTTGGCACTCTTCCTCGTTGTTTTCGCGGCGCCCGGAATCCACCTCCGTCGCCGGAGTGTCCTGCATGCTCGATTCTCCGGAGGATTGGCTTCAGTCGAGTCGTGCTTTGAACCACGCTTTGTCGGATTGTAGTGTTAGGGATGTGAGATTTTCCGATGCTCCATTTTTAGCTATGAACTCCACTTGCGGCGGCGTGAAATTGTCGGATCCTGGGGATTTCGTCAAAGAAAGTTCGGACAACGCGTTTTCTTCCTCCGGCGCGGTGGATTCCGATACGAATGCGCCACTGAAGAGAAGGGATCTTTCATCTGAAAATGATCCTGGGGATTTCAGTTGTGATAGCGAGGTAACTTGTTACAAACTCCTCCTGTTTCTCAGTTTTCACTATCTTTCCATTACCCAAATGAAGCTTTTGCTTCACCTTTAAGTTAATTCCATCCTCTTTTGAAGGGTGCGGATGTGCCAGAAGTTCCGTTCGGTACTGATCTGCCTCGAAGTTCGTCGAAGAGAAGTAGAAGCGCTGAGGTCCATAACATGTCGGAGAAGGTCAGTTTCATATTGGGTCCCCGGTTCTAAGCATTCTTGTCTATAAGTTTATACTAGGAGCCTTTGATTGCTTAACTTCGGCTAATATTGTTGGTGAGTGGGCCAGAGACGAAGAAGGAGGATCAACGAGAAAATGAAAGCCCTTCAGAACTTAATTCCCAATTCGAACAAGGTATGTTTGTCAAATTTAAGATTATGACAGTTTCACTTCTCTATGCTTTAATGTTACAAGAAGATTGTGCTTTTGACAGACGGACAAAGCTTCAATGTTGGATGAAGCAATTGAGTATTTGAAGCAGCTTCAACTTCAAGTCCAGGTGGGTGTCCTTCTGTTTTCTTTCCTGATCTTGTCTTGGGGTTATGGGCCTCAGAATTTGATCACGGTTCCACTTTTCTTTGATATGGACTCATCTCTCTTTATATGCATTCGTTCACTGTATTGGTTGCTAAATAGTCCATGAATTCGAGCCACAGAATCTTATGTGCATGTATCAAAAAGTAATATTCCTTTTGTCCACAATTTATGTGTCAAATATGGCAGAGCTCTTTGATTTGGGGTTGCCAACCAATCAGAGAACTTCAAATTTCTAAATAATTGCATTCTAGTTTCTACTTCTCAGGAGAATATGGTTCATGAAGTAAAGGGTTTTCCTAGTAGAACTTGCGTACATTTGATAATGATACAATTCACTTCAGAGATGAGGATCTGGAATGCTACCTCTCTTGATCATTGCTTTGTAAACTTTTCCCTGTTTTCGTTGCTAACAGCTTGTTCCATTTTTCCTTTTGGTCCAGAAAAGTGGCCATAATTTGATGAACATATTTAAACTTCTTGTTATCATTGACGTTGGGCTATGCAGATGTTATCAATGAGAAATGGGTTGAGTTTGCTACCAGTGTGCTTGCCAGGAAAGCTGCAGCCAATTCAACTACCTCAGATGGGGTTGGACTTGGACGTAGGAAATGCATTTCTAATGTCCAGAAGAGGAATAGACACGTCGTTTACTGGGAACGAAGGGCGTCCCATGCAATCTACGTTCAATCTCTCCAACAAATGTAACCTTTCAGATCAGTCAATTGCCATCCCTTCCGCACCAAACACGACAACTTCAGAAATGGCATTCGGTTTTGAACCCACGATACAGGCTTACGGAGGGGAGTTTGAGCTTTCCTCCGATTTCAAGGTAACAAAAACAAGAACAACAAACTTCTTTCTGCTTTTGTGGAATTGGTACCAATTATTTTCTTGCAAATATGCAGGATGTCCAAGCAGCCGTGCAGTTAGATTGCGCTCGGACAGGGAAGGACTCGTCTTAGTTGCGATCGGGTGCAGGATGCTACTCTCTAGAGTATGGTCTTTAAACGAAGCAATTTCCTTACTTTCCTTGTTGGATGTTCTACTACAAACATTACAGAAACGGCATAATATTGTATTGTCACACTTACTAGAAATGTATTGTAGAACAGGTTAACAACATAATCTTGAGATGTTTATGTTTCGAGTGTTTATATTGGAAAAGTATTAAATAGGCAATCATAGAATGCAGAAACTGTATGCGAAAAAGAAAGGTGATAAGAAGAAGAAGGTGGGTAATGTTCTTCCTTACCAATTTGAAGCTGTATCTGGGCAGGCAAGGCAGGTGATGTGAAGTAGAGCAATAATTTTGGGTTGTAATGCTGTCAAGAAAACGAAACAAAAAATGTGGCGTCTCTTTGGAGATAAATATCAATTCAACTTCGTTCATGTGCCTGAGTTTATATTTTTCGTTTTGTCCAAGAAGAGAGAAAAAAGAAAAGGAACCCCCACCTCAGGACCAGATTCTCCCCTTACCCAGACTGACTCAATAGGGACAGATCGGCCCAACTTGAAGTTGATGTGAACCCATTTAGTAGAGCTTACAGCAACCCCAAATATGAGTAAATTGAGATTAGGGTTGAATATGTAGATGCATAGTAATACACAAGAAAAGGAGAGAGTAAAGCAGGGGTCTGCGGCGTATACAGTGGTCAAACTCTATTTTATGGGGAAAGGTAATTAATTATGAATCATTATTTACAAGGTACCCATTATTATTATTACTTTTGTTAGACCACGCAGGCTCCCCAAGCCACATTTCTTTAATCAATAAAATATTTTTCTTTTCAAATTTCTTGGAATAATATTGAAAAAAAACTAGAAATTATTTTTATTTTCTACAATTGTAGAATTTGTGGATAATTTGGTAAAAATCTAAAAGTTATTTTTGCACATATTTCTATCTTTCATCATTTAAAGAAACAACAAGAAGTCTAAAGAGAAAGCAACAGCAACAGCTATAAAGATCCTAGGTTCATATTTTACATTTTTTTTTTTTTTTTTGACAAATGGACTTTAATTTTTGAATGATAACATGGTTTACCGAAAAAAAAAAGTTATTTACTTTAAATGTAAAAGGGAATTCTTAGATTTAATATTCTAAAGAATTATATATATACAAAGCAATACAATAAACTCTTCCCTTTCGGAAAGGAATTTCTATAAATTAAAAAAAAAAAAAAAAATGGGGAAAGTGGTAGGGGCACCATGGGGTGATTCGCCTAACTTTTTGATTTCTTATTCTGCGTTTGTTGGAATAATGGCTTGTATTTCTGAGAAAATGAAGTGAGAAAAATATATTATAATAATTTTGTGTTTTACTAGAAAGAAAAAAAGATTTTTCAATCACTATTTATTACATTTTGTTTATTAAAATGCCAAAGCTAAATATAGGAAGAATAATGTATGGAAAAAGACAAAATTAGAATGGTAATCTAAGCTATGCCACAATTAATTAAACTCTACATTTTTGGATTTCTTCTTCTTTTTTTTTTTTTTTGTTATTTTAATTCCAAGTCCGTGACCACTCACCACTATCTTTATATATATATATATATATACCAACAAATTACTTTCAATTTTTTTTATTAAAAAAAATGAAGAAGAAGGTTTACCAACTACTACACTTATCATTATTGTCCCAATAACAATCGGATACAACAAAAGCTGTTTGTGAATACTATGTTTGGTTAACAATTTAGTTGGTTCATTAGCATATTTTACAAAGCCTAATGATCGAACAAGACAATTCAAGCAGTTCACTTACTGAAAGTCCTGTTTAAAATGATTGCAGAGGAAGAATATGAACCCCGAGTGGAAGCCCACCTCAATTTCACAAATCGTTTGTAACTTACCCTGGAAGTTCAGCCAAGCCGCAGCGGGGAAGAGGGGTCAAAAAATGGATGGGCTTTATTACCATGATTCTTCATTTTTACAAGTTCTACTCCTATTTGCCAGATCTCTCCATCTTTCTCTCCTCCTGTGAACCCCACTGAATGGGTCGAATGTGCAGTTCAATTTTTTGTCTTCATTTTTTCAGTTTACTGCATCCTTGCTTTTGCCACTGAACTAATTGTCCTTCTTCTTCTGTGGCTGTCTCCTCTAGATAAACCAGTCTGACGGGTTTGTAGAACAAGGGGGAGGTGGAGAGGGAGGAAAAGGAAGGTGGAAAATGTCTAGTTATGCCTTCTTGAATGACCAGCTCTCCAAGCGGACCTCCATTTTCGGTTTGCGCTTGTGGGTCGTTTTGGGTATTGGCGTTGGTGCCGCCATTGTTATTGTTCTGTTCCTCATTTCGCTATGGTTCACCTCCAGGCGCAACAGTTCCAATAAATCTAAGTCCTCTCTAAACCCCACTATCCCGAATGTGTCCAAGGAAATCCAGGAAATACGAATCGACCATTCTCGGAATCCAACTCATTCTGATCCTCCTAAAGTTCAAGTGGCTTCGAACCCTGAGCCCTTGCCGGAGGCAGAGCCTTTAGCGACGCTGCTTCAGACGGAAGAAGGGAGCCCACCTAGTGGACGCCATAGAATTCACATTGAAATTGGGAAGGACCACCGGATTTCTTATCCGGAGAGAGTCGGCGGTTCATCCCACGGTAGCGGAGAGGTTCGGTCCGGTGACCAGGCGCAGGTGGTTGTGCCGGAGGTTTCCCATTTGGGTTGGGGACATTGGTACACTCTCAGAGAGCTCGAGTATTCTACTGCTGGTTTTTCGGATGAAAATGTAATCGGTGAGGGCGGATATGGTATTGTGTACCGTGGTGTTCTGGAGGACAACACTGTGGTTGCTATAAAAAATTTGCTCAATAACAGGTTCTTCTTTTTTCTTTTTCTTTTTTTGTGTCACACGGATCCTGTAATTTCTTGCAGTTATGTCATAATACTACGAGCGCTGATCTTATTTTACAAGGATCCTCTACTGAATTTGATACCTTTATGTTGCTATACTGAAAAAAACTTTATGCAATATTGCTTGTCATCAGGGGACAGGCCGAGAGAGAGTTTAAGGTTGAAGTTGAAGCAATTGGACGCGTACGGCACAAGAATCTGGTGCGTTTGCTCGGCTATTGTGCAGAAGGAGCTCACAGGTATTCTGATTTTCCTCCAAATTAATCCCTGTGGAAGCTAAGAAACTGCTTCGATAAGAAACTTTTCTAAATGTCAAACTATGAAACACACCCAAAAAGCACTCTCTGGAGGTAATTTGAGAACGTGTGTGCATTCTGCTTGTCTTGTTGTAGGATGCTTGTTTATGAGTACGTCGATAATGGAAACTTGGAACAGTGGCTTCATGGAGAAGTTGGGCCTTGTAGTCCTCTCACATGGGACATTCGAATGAATATAATTGTTGGAACAGCGAAAGGGTATGTTCTACATTGTATTTGCTTTCACTATTTTGCTTCTGGATAAGTTATGTTCTGCAGGTTGTTGGCATGGTTTTGACTTGATGAATTCATAGGTTAACATACCTCCATGAGGGGCTTGAGCCTAAGGTTGTTCACCGTGATATCAAGTCAAGTAACATTTTGCTTGATAAGCAGTGGAATACAAAGGTCTCTGACTTTGGCCTAGCAAAGCTTCTAGGCTCAGAGAGGAGTTACGTAACAACTCGTGTGATGGGAACTTTCGGGTTAGTCTAAGTTCTAGCGCGAAACATATGACTTGGTTTCTAATTCTAAATTGACGATCCTGGCGGAGTAACTTATGCATTGCGATCTCGGGTTGTGTTGTAGATATGTAGCTCCAGAATATGCGAGTACTGGCATGTTAAATGAAAAAAGTGATGTATATAGTTTTGGCATCCTGATTATGGAGATAATTACAGGGAGAAATCCAGTAGATTATAGCCGCCCTTCAGGAGAGGTTTGTTTTCACTCATTCAGACACTTTTGCATTCCATAACCAGGTCTATACAGGCTCCAATTTTGACCCTTAACTTTACTTTTCAGGTCAACCTAGTTGAGTGGCTTAAAACAATGGTTAGTAATCGAAACGCAGAGGGAGTTCTGGATCCTAAGTTGCCTGAGAAGCCTTCAACAAGGGCACTGAAGCGTGCTCTGCTAGTAGCTTTACGATGTGTGGATCCTAATGTTCAGAAGAGGCCTAAAATGGGGCATGTCATTCATATGCTTGAAGCTGACGAGTTCCCTTTCCGAGATGTAAGTTGACGACATTTGAACTTGATACGTGAGAATATTTAACTAGAAGAGTGTGGTTTATTTGGTTCAAATATTTCAGGATCGTAGAGTGGGACGGGAAGGGGGACGATCAGTACTGAAGGAAAGGCTGATGGAAAGGCTTGTGAGTGAATCTGGAGAGAGCAGCGGATATGAAAGTGGAGCAACACAAGCAAGCCGTCATCTATGGAGAAGGCAAGAACTGGAAGAACAACAACAACCTCGCGAACCTCACACTTTAAGGTGATACTGAACTTGTGTGTGTGTGTGCCTAACTCACAATGTTACAATCAGGCTACACTCCAAAATTTAAGGAATCCCAGCATTTTGTTCCTCAAATTGCTGGGAAGAAGAAGCTTCCTATAAATTGTTTCCACTGCAGTCTCTTCCCATTGTTGTATTGTACCAAACAATCTGTATAATGTTCTGAATCAATCTTTGTCTTGGGTTTTGGGTTTTGGGTTTTGGATTTCAACTTCCACACATTCTATAATGGTCATCACCACCAAAATTAGGTACCTATAACTGTAACCACAACAACGTTTTGGTTAAATCTTGAATCCATAAAGCTCATTTAACTGAAATGGTCTAGATTAAGATGGCAAAGAGTAAAGATGAGTAGTTCTTAGGTGGAAGTTCGGTGGGTGTGATTTGAATCGAATAGGTGGTACTGAAGTTTGGTGGGTGTAATAGAATTAAACAGGGTCCTACACTTTCACGAGCATTACTGTTTTGTGGGGACTAAGTTCGTGTAAGAGAAGGAGAAACCTTTATTGTTTTTCGTTTACTGGAAGTGACTGTGGTGCGTTTGGATTTAGAATCTTGGACCACTCCCTTTATGTTCTTCTGCTGCTGTTATTTGTATAAAAGTTATTACATTTCTTTTTTGCTTCTTACTTTTTGGCATTTCTCTCCAAACCCCCGAGTTCTAGGTCACTGCTTTAGCCCCTCTCTCTCTCTCTCTCTCTCTCTCTCTCTCTCTATATATATATATATATATATATACACACACGCACGCACACACCCACACAGTCGTGTTTGGGCTAAAATATATGGGCTTTTGTGGTCGTGTTTGGGCCAGGGTAGAAAATGGGCCTGGATACGGTCCAAACAGTCGAATGCAGGAGCCGCTGGCTACATTGTCGGCCACCAAACAGCCAGCGCAAGAGTGTGCCCTCCAGCTCTCCGCCAACCATTACGAAGCCGACGATT